TTGTGGCTCTTTGGTAACACCTATGATTTTCCTTTTCATTTTAGCCCAGCTGTAAGAGGTGAAAATTTACGTTTCAAAGAGGGGGATGTATTGAATCTGCTGAAGGAAGTCTTCATCCCATGGCTCAATGCCTACCGCTTCTTTGTTCAGCAGGTTGAAAGGTATTTTTTCCCCAACTTTGTTTATTACACTTTTTTTCTTCATGAAATTTGTGGTTACTTTTATTCAATATACATATATTATATCTGCAGCCTCTCTATAAGTTAAATGGTGCTTAGTACAGGAAATAACAGAATTTTAATTTTTCTTTAAAAGGTATGAAAAGAAGAAGGAGCGCAGTTCCAGTTCGAGGAAAGTGTCATGGGCAAGTCAACCAATGTGATGGACAGGTGGATTCTGTCCTTCACACAGTCACTCCTTGCCTTTGTGCACAAGGAGATGGAAGCTTACCGTCTCTACACTGTAACGCCACGCCTCGTGAAGTTTGTAGATAACCTCACCAACTGGTATGTGAGATTTAACAGGAAGAGACTTAAGGGGAGACTGGAAAGGAAGATTGTCTGAGAGCTTTAGAGACTTTGTACTCTGTGCTTTTCTGTATGGTGCGGGTGATGGCACCCTTCACTCCATTCATCACCGAGACCATGTACCAGAACCTGAGACGGGTGCTCAAACCTGGAACCCTTGGGCAGGTCAGTGGCAGGGAGAGCTTCACTGTGTGGAGCATTTTCTTTATTGTAATTTTTTTCTTTTCTTTTCTTTTGGGTGATTTTTTCATTAATATATACATTTTCTGAAAGTTTGTAGTCTACACAATTTGACTTGATCAAAAAAAATCTTTGCCATAATGCTCTTACAAGTGTATCTTGAATGGTTGCAAAGATCTAGGTAAAATGACATAGACAGTTGATGTCAAAAGCTTGATGAATGGTTCTACAAGCTTTTAGCTGAAAGGAATGTTTACAATTTTCATACTTTTTAAATTTTTTAATTTTATTTATTTTTTTATTTATTATTTTTTTTTTCAGGGTGATACTAGTTCAGTCCACTACCTCATGGTACCCCAACCAATGAAGAAACTTATTTGCCCTGAGATTGAGACCTGTGTAGGCATTCTGCAGAATGTTGTTGAATTGGGTCGATACATCCGAGACAAGGTGAACAACCCCATGAAATATCCCTTGCCTGAAGTAGTTGTCATCCACAAGGACCAGCAGATTCTTGATGATGTCTTGAGACTTGAAAAGTACATTAAGGAAGAGCTTAATGTTAAAACTGTGACAACATCAACTGACAAACAGAAGTATGGAGTTGCTCTGAGAGCTGACATGAACTTCAAGTTGCTGGGTGCAAGACTGAAAGGAGATGTGAAGAAAGTGCAGCAGAAGGTAGCAGAACTGACAGATGTGGAGATCCAGGAAATGCTTCAGGCAGGATCCATCAATATTCTAGGTCACACCATTGATGCCAGTGAGCTTAATGTCAAGTACAGTTTTAGTGGTGAGAAAGCAGAGGAATTATCTTCGAAATATGAGGCTCATGCTGATGCTAATGTCCTCATCTTGTTAGACATTACTCCATCTCAGGACATGTTGGATGAAGGTATGGCACGAGAGGTTATTAACAGAATGCAGAAATTAAGAAAAAAGGCAAATTTAGTACCAACTGATGAAGTAACTGTGTGGTATGAAGTAAAGGATGGTGACCTGGCTCGTATCATCACTTCCTTTACTGAATATATTGAGACTGCTACAAAGACACCATGCAAACCTTTGTCAGAGAAGAATAGTACTGATGTTATTATCGAGGAGGTTGCAGATGTGAAGAAAACAGATTTGAAGTTGGTAATCACCAGAGGTTTCTGTGCTGGTTGGGCCATGACAGCTTCCACAGTGGAGAGTGAAGTTCCAGCAGCTCAGGGAGGATTAACCTGTCCCTGGGTCAATATCATCCTTGATGGCACACCAAGATTTGCTAATAACAGCTGCAGTGCAACATTGCTACTTGAAAATCCACAGAATTCTCCAGTTGTCAAGTCTTGCAAGGATATTCTTCTTGAAGCACAAAACATCTTCGGCTTCCCTCTTAAGCATGCCAAATTGCATATTGAGAAAAACAGATTGACTTGGAGAAAACTTCTGTCAAAAACCTTGTTGGCAAAACTATTGTTGTGACTTCTGCTCCTAACAAAGTCCCAGTTGGAACATCAGCAGTCAAGCCATACAGCAGGTCAGTTGCTTTGAGTATATTCCACTATTTTGATAGTGCATGATATATATTCATAGATACAGATAGAGAAGGGTAAAAATGCTGATTAAATTCAGGATTTGTTCCAGATCTTAATCAATGTTTTGTATTTCAGATTTGTTAATGTTGAAGGAAATGGAAAGAAGGCATCTGTACTCCTAGAAAACCCCTGTGGGGATGGCATCATGACAGTGCCAATCTTTGTCAAATTTGTAATGAATGTTTTGGGTTTGAAGTCAAAACCTCGCCTCTTCACTGATCCCGAGAAGAAGAAGGAACTGCAACTTAATGGCACTAGTTTAACAAAGCTTCAAGGGTCCACAGTTTATGTTTGAGTGTTTGGTAGGGTTCACGTTGTTGTTGAAAGGACCTTTTGTTGATGAATTTGCTTAAAATTATGATTATTACTAAGGATTTCATCCAAAGACTAGAGCTTCATACTTTTTTCTCCATAATTTATAGCTGATATCAGTGAAAGAAAATATCACACCAGGTGGATAACAGTGAAATAGCACAAGTAATAAATATTAAAAGAAGTAGATGTGTGATATTCATTAATGTCCAGTGTGAGCATTTGTGATAAGTACTTGTTCATAAAATACAAATGTAAATGTTTTGCACTGTAGATTCATACAGTTTATTTGTTGAAAATTTTGAACATTCATTAATGAATATTAGGAAACCAAATCATGTTCTAATATGTGCTGTTTGTCATTCAAAACTTTGTCATCAAAAAAGGCCACTCTTGACCAGTGTTTTCTTAAAAGAACCTTCAGTGTAGACATAAAGATATTTTTTATAGATTGCATAAAAAAACACCAAGATTACCATTTATTCATATTTGAACTATTCCAAGAATTTATGGAACAGTTAAAGTAAGCTGTATATATATAATAAATGTGTAAAGTGTCCTATTTGCCATACACTAAAAACTAACTTAAATAGTTACCCTCCTAAATAAATGACTGCTTTATCTGAATATGCATCAATTTGCAGGCTTCCAGTTCTTTTTCATATTTTAAAGTTTGGTTGCTAGTGGTTTAGTGGTTTTCTGAGCAGAAAATAGCTGGTGATGTGGTAAATATTTTTATCATGGAAAATATATAACTATTTTTTATACAACATGAAATATTTATTTGTATAAAATATGCAGATTTATGTAATTAAATTTTTGGGGTAATTAAACCTTTAAATGGCAACTAATTCACTACCTCTGCCATGTTGATATCAACCTAGTCCTTGGATTCTTGTTAGAGGTTCATGCTGAGAGTATATTTATATATATCATCATCGCCATTATAACTTACTTTTATTTGTCGATAGTTAACATCTTGTGGACTGATGTGCTTATTGCTTTTACTTGCTTGGTTATGCTACAGTTAGTTGGGGCATAGAGAGTAGGAATTGGCACCAGTGACCAAAAACAAATCGGGCTGTTTGCTCACCTGTTTTACGTGACAAAGAGTTTTTCTGCATAAATGAGCAGTGTTAATCTGTCTAAATATACTGGACAAGAGCTCAGTGGGGCTCTGACAGTACAATAAAATGGTGTGCAATAAGAAGGATCATGAGTATAACACTGTTTAGCATAGAAATTGCAAAGGACTTTTTTTTTTCTTCTTTCTTTCTCACAAATGGTGTAGAGATCAGTTAACATTTTGAAATGTCCTGATATTACACAACCTGATAGGAATATCCATGGTATTCCATAACTACTACAGTCAAACTCCGAGTAGCAAACAACATAGCCCAGGGGTCCACATATAAGTCATGTCTAGCATTACATATTAAGTCCCTGATAAATTGGCTTAAGTTTCAACTTAGTTCTGAAATGGATAGCAAAATATCTACAGGCAGCCTACTTGCTTGTGTATGCAGACACTTTTGTTGTGTGGACAGGTCTTGAAGCACTGCTTTATCATGTAGACAGGTCTTAAAGATGCAGAATTCATACAAGAGTTTCTTACTTAAAGAAATTATTTAGAATTTTTGCTCTCTGAAATGGTTTTGAAGTATTTGTATATCGACAAGCACTAGATATATGTAAAGAATATTCAGACTAGTACATTTTTTTTTGAGAGAGAGAGAGGGCTGTATAGAGGCTCTTAAGTAGTCGTTGAAAAGCTGTGATATCCTGTATATAGGTACAATAGAGAACTTTGTTGGATATGATGCTTCAGTTTAAGAAATCGGAACTTTTCACTTGACCCAGATTTGACTTCATATAAGAAAAAATATAAATATGATAAATATAATACTATCAAACATGAGACCTGTTAAGTGATAAATAATACTGAGCAAATATTACCGAAAATTCAAGTAAATAATACTAAAATATTTTACAACAGCATCCTTGAATAGTAATTATTGCTATTAATACTAATGAAAATATATGAAAAGGGGAGTATTTCCAGGCCTTCAACATTTGTTACATGACCTGAATCCTGTACAAGTGTGATGGGAAACTTAATGATGAATACTAACACAACAAATTATAATGATTTATACTTGCATTTACTACAAAGGTTAGAGGGAAATTAAAGATACGATGCATAATTTTTTTTTTGTATTTAAACACTATTAATAAAATATATGATAAAAAAGGCACCATTTGTTTCTAGAAAAAATATCCTTTAAAATTAAATAAAAACATTTGTATCTATGTAATACATGTCACTAAAAGTTGTAAACACCCCAACAACAGTTTCACAGCTGTACACAGGGTATGTTTCTCCAAATCAATTAACATTCAATTATATTCCAATGAAGTTAATTATTTAATTCAGTTTTCCTAAATGTGAAGATACACTTGATTGCTGCTTGCACTGTAATGGGCTAATTCATCCCCTCTTAAAGACAAAATTTCTGAATCCAATTTTGGTCCAGATTTAGCCTGAAAATAAAAGAAGGCACAATAAATACCTTTCTGCTAGTAAAGTATCAAAATATTCAACTAGAAACTTACTCAAATTTCTTTATCTGTAGTTATTATTTCAAGCAATTACTTTGTGTTCCGAATAAATCAACTATGACAAATAAAAAATCTACCATACTTAGTAACATTAGTTAACATTAGTTTAAACAACCAAACTGAGGGTGAAAGCAAAAAAAAAAAAGATTTTTTTTTTTACCTTGCCCATTGCACATCTTTGCCATGAACTGTGATTGCAATGTCCACATGGATTTCTTGGAAGCTTGTCCAGGGATGATGTTCTTCTTTTACAATTTTTGCATTCAAAGAATCTCTTCTTAGCCTTCACAGTCTTCAGGGGGTGGTTCTCTTCTCGACACATGTCTGAGGCTGACTGGGCCATGTATTTACACTGAAACGATATTGAAGGTACTTTATGTATAACATGGATGATTTTTAATTAATTTACAATGGCATGATTTCCTATTACGTCAAGCCAGACTTTCTCTCGCCTTGGATTAATGTTACATCAAGTAATGCAATTAATTTGCCTGGGCTGTGGTCATTAAGGAGTAAGAGCCCCTGAAAAGTAGGCTTAAAGCCTCTTTTAAGCCTCATTATATAAGAATATTTTGTGCTACTGCCAAGAGCATAGAAAGGAGGGTAATTTTGTTTCCTATACTTCTGATTTTCCCTTCCCTTCCCTGATGTGCAGTTCCCTCTGACACCAAGGGCTCCCATTGTGAATGGGTTAATGTGCTGATAACCATCCAGCACCATATATATGAACTAGTACATATATTGGTTCTATCTATTGCTCATATGAAAAATGCTTAATACAAATTTTCATGATCATTAATTATTAATGGAATTGTACTTAAAATGATGTTAGTTTATGTATAATCTATTATTCTATTCAGTCCTTCATGCATCAAATATGTATGCCCTGCAAAGTCAAACTGTATCTTCAATAGTAGGATAGAAGCTTAAAAATATAATCAATCCTGTTATAATGCCAACTATTTGCTCCATACCATGGTAAGGAAGCAGAGGCTACAAAGTTTCCACTGCAAGGAAATTTATAAAAATTGTTTACCTTCAGACACACGTAAGCTGTTGTTGGCATTTCCATGATGGAGGCCATCTTATCTTCAAGCATCTCTTTCTTTTCCAAGTTCTTGTAATATTTCTCTACAGCTTCATCCTCTACTGCCTACAAACAGTAAGAAAACATGAGATGAGACTAATAGCCAAAGTAAACATATAAACACGTATGAGTCAAATATACTTTCAAATTTTCAAAACAAACCAAGGAAGCCAAAGACTGAAATCATAGGCTGAATGAAAATAGACTTACATTTATAAGATTGGTGTGTCTCGACTTCTGCTCAAGCATGGCCTTATACTTATCAGAGTTAACATCAATGGATCCCAGTTTAGACCTTGAAGGTGAAGACACTGCTTCAGCTAACCTCGACCTTTTGCTGGGTTGTTCAACACGAAACATGTTATACAGATTAATTATGTAAGCAACTACATTTGTTCTAAGATAGAAAAGAAAGAGAGAGAAGAATTAAATTATTATACTTTTATTCCAAACCAAACCATACATGGCTTAAAAACAAGTTCTCAAATTCCCATGTCCTTTATTGTAATATTTACTTATTTTTGAAGACATACTATTACCGTTATCTGTTCTTCTAAGGGAATGTATACAAAGGATATGAAGCCTTACTCTCTGAATCAGAAGAGGTATTCAGTCTCTTCCTCACTTTCTCCTGGAACTTTTGGTCTGAAGACTTTCTTGCATTTCTCTCCTCATTTCGGTTAGATGCCTCAATGCCTCCCTTCTTCTGCACCAAGGCTAATGCTCTTGCCTAAGTATGTACAATGAAGTGAGTAAATAAGGATTTCACAAGGCATATTCCTGTATTAATATGCCAGTACAGAAATAAGGCACCTGATACTCATACCAAATGTATACTACAATGTAAACATGAACATATGAATGATTTCCTTAGTTGATTAAACTAAAACCAGTCAAGAAGAAATAAAAACTTAACTAATGGATTAACCATAACACATTACAATAGAAATATAGAATATAAAATGGTAACACTAAAAATATGTTATCTTGCAATCTAAGCACTAACCACATTTCACAGAATCTTACCTTGGCAGGATCTAGTCTTCTTGGAGGAGATGTGAAGTCGAGCTCCACTTCCTCTCCTGGCTGAAGCCTCGGCCTAGCATGGGAGAGGATGGACCTGGGAAGGCCGAGAGCTTTGGTCTTCCTGTTGAGGGTGATGATTGCTGGCTCAATGTACTCCTGGCTGATGGCAATGACTCCTGACTCAGCCCTTGTTTCTGTAATACATTATAATATGATATTCAGTTCCAGGAAAACTGTGTATCATTCTCAGATGGACTCATGTTAGCAAGCATGATACACACTTAACATATAGCCTAAGTAAAACCTAAGTCAAAGTTGAACAAAAATTATGGTTTTCCTTACCTGTCTCTTTAATGATTGCATCTGCTTATGCTGCATAGCAAGTAGTTCCTTGGCTGAGACACTACGAATTTCACCCGTTTCTACTTTTTGTTGTGTATTTTTCTTTGCCATGTGGCACAAAAGGTTGCGTGCACCTGGTGTTGGTGCTAGAAGCATTTCACTCCTGTAAATTATTACACATTAATATCTAAAGTACTTTAGCCAACTTTTGTTTCATCAAAAACTATTTTTTCCTAATGAAAATCTCATTTATGTAACTTATCAACAGACCAGTACTTACAGACTTTCATTCTTCTTGGCAACATTTTGAACTGCACTGATTTCTTCATCGCTCATATGTTTCAGAACAAATGACTTCTTCTTGTCTTCTTCTTCAGCTCATTTGTCTTCAGCTTTAATTTGAGAGAGTTTAGAGTCGCTAAATCCTTGGCTCGATTTGCTCTTGCCTGTTTCGGTGCTGTTCCTGGAGCCGGAGAAGAGTACAACTGCCCACCATAGAAAACCTGTAAAGATGCATACACCATATAAGGATTATCATCATCAATAACAGAAGTAGCAGAAAATCTTGTAAAGCTAACACATAAAATTATATTTGCCTTCAGTGATATTTTGTTCCATCTGAGTGATTAAATTTAAAGAAAGTCTTAGTGTAAACACAACTCCCACTTGTGAAATGGTCTCACAATCACTGCAAGTTGATTTAAAATATACTTTCTATACGCAAAATGATTTTATTATCATGAAAATGCTTGAATTTAATGAAAACTGTAAAAACACACATTCTACTACTTAAACAATTAAATGGCAAAAACTTATATCACTTTCTATCTGAATCTTCATAATCCTTTGTTGGACTAGCCTCATACTCACCTGATCTTTGCCAAGGATCTTTTCTTGTAATCTGGCTCTTGGATCTACTCTGGTGAAGGATGACTGAATGTCTGCACGCCTGGATGATGTTTTCTGATACTCCCTTTGAATGTGAAACATGCAGAATTCACATGAAGCCTTGTTTACAAAATTTCTGCACTGGGAATTCTGTTTTGTTCTGTAAAAATAAATAATATAAAAGGTAAATTATAATTTCTATATATTAAGGATCTACATCTATGTTCAATGTATTGACCTGAGTCTGTTATGTCATATTTACATAACAATTTCTAATAAAGTCAAAGAATCTCAGTACAGACCTGCCTTTGCACCATCCCAGATCCTTAGAAGAACCCATAATCATTGCCTTATTGTGATCATAAATAGATAGAGTAAGTAAATCTGTGCACTTGTCACCTTGTCTGAAACAAAATAAAACAATATTATCAATATGTTATAAAACTCAAATGAGGGAATGCTTTTAAGAGAGACCAATGCCATGCACTTTTGATCAACTTGTTAAAATGTTAATGAAACATAGATAAACAAAAATAAATATTTGAAAATAGAAATTTTGCCTGTCAAATAACATTTGTCATACATAAAAGCAGAGGACAACCCATAATGCCATAACTGTTCACACTTTACCTGTCTTTCATAATCTGAGGATTCAGAAGTCCCACCACAGTTCCAACACTGCTTTTCCATAATTGCTTGTGAGCCCCAGAGAATAGGAATAAGCCCACAGTCTTTGTACAGTCAGTAAGATCACTCAATTTCCATATGGAGTATTGTGACCCCTGAAATAGAACACACATATATATATTTTCTTTATAGAAAACAAGAGGTTTACAAAGTTTCAGTAATTCAATTTCACCATCTGAAACTACAATTGTACCCCAAAGTCTTAATGAAGTCAGGTCTCTGTTGATCAAAATGTTAATAAAAAAAATTGATGGTCTTTTAAATCAGTCATACGCATACATTTACCTTCTGTGATGTTTTGGTTTGGCTTTTTGATACAAGAACTCCAATGGTAACCCAATCGCCTTCAATCTCTCCCCCTCTCAAATGCAGGTTGATGGTGCACATGCGAACCATCTTTCGACCTTCCATTCTCTCAGCCATCACATTTCCTGATACCAAGGGGTTGCTGAAAATGATGAATACCTTATAATGATTACTGTTCTCTATAATCTTGATAATATAAGATATGCCATTGATAAGAAAATCATCAAATCACTCAGCAATATCTTTTCTTTCTTCTAATTAAATGAATATTTGCATGAAGTCTGATACTGCATGTATCAAAAGGCTTGATTCTCATACATGAGGTCATTCAATATGTTTCGAGTTAATGTAATCATAAGATATAAACAACTGCAGGATGTGGTAACCATATGATAACACTTACACAATCCTGATCCCAGAAAACCTGTCAACAGACACGTTCTTTTCAAATTCAGGGGTTGGCGTACCACCACTCTTCAAGGACACAAGTGACCCACTGAGATCCTTCCACCCCGGGTTCTTTGCAGGTGGACTCTTCATCTTATTCAAGACTTCCTGCTTTCGTGTGTCTGGTGGCCTCTCATCTGAGGCGTGTGCAATGCGTTTCTTGATTTCTCGACCATAGTCATTCAGCTGCTGCTCAAAGGGATTTCTGTTGTCATCTTCATCTTCGGAATCGGTTTCACCACCGTGCAATAAACTCTTCCTCTTGAGTCCTTGGTACAGTTTTGCCTCCTCTTTGTCTGATAGAGTCCTCACAACCTGGCTGCGTTCTTGAGTTACATTGGTTAACTTTGTGAATCTTCTGGTACCTGAGTCTTCGCCTTTGTGATCAAATTTCTTCTTCTTGGCAAGTTGTTCCCTCAAGAGATTCATACGTTCCTCCATCTGCTTCAGCTCTGCTTCCAATGGATCAAAGTCTTTAGCCTTTTCTGAACTAGCTGTTCCACCCTTGGAAAATTTGGAGCCAGAAAATGCAGCACCAAATCCTGACTTTGATTTTTGGGGAGGGGCTTTGGCCTCATCCTCGTCATCAGACATGACTAAACCCAATTCCGCCATACTGGTGTTTTTGGGAGAATCAGCACTGGCACTGGGTTCTGTCATGGAGGTGTTTGATGTCCCTGGGAGGTCACCATCATCATCTAGAAGTCCAGCAAGAGCATCCAAGTCCCCTTTCTCATCCTGTGGAGTCATGTCATCATCGTCCAACATGGCGGCAAGTGAATCCAAATCATATTCTGGAAATATTAACATGACATTAATGCACTTACAGTTACTACTCCCATGCCCAAGTTACGGTTGTAGGGTAAATCATAGTTTCAAAGTTACATTTCCCTTATATACCTTTTGTGTCTTAGATATCAAGCAATTTTTATCCTTCAGAGGCTGCCTTACCATCTTATTAACAAAATAAGCAGAACACATAGACTTTGGTATCTTTTTATAATAGGTTTCCAAGAAGCAATGCCGTGGTCTCCAAGCTTACGATTACAACAAAAACCAAGATTGGATTGAATACCTAATACATATATAAAATTCCTACAGAGGCGTACAAGCACCATTATGTCAAGATATTCATGGTGGTGATGATTTCATAGTCTAGGCAAATTTAGCACAGATTTTCAAATTTTGATGAGGGATTGTAACTTCAGGTTCTTACTGTGGATTATATTTTATATCTAATAGTACTGTTTGTGAGTTCTTTATACCCCAGACTTTCATTTTACTCATTCCTTGAAGTTCTTTTCAGGTCACCCACACTAGATTCATATTTAGCATTTCTAAATATGAATCTAGAAGTTAAAGATAAAGTTTAATCATATAATTCTAGCAAAACATTTTTCGGTTCCATCACTTTTACCTAGCACGTTCCAAATCTTTCCCGCGAAATCAAATAAAGAACTAGCTTAGCTTTTATCGAAGCGAAATCCCCTCTACACCTGTGAATAGACACTAATCTTCCTTTTGGATCTTAAGCAAGTTAATTATGAATATGCATCCCGTAGCCCCGCCAGGAAGTCTTCGTGCGAAAAGCCATTCGCACTGTTTTCGGAATAGTATCCATAAAATAAGCCATAGGAACCTTTCGGCCACAAATAATACAATACTGCAGTCGAGAGACCTTACCTCCTTCTGAATCGGCCATTTTCAAAACAATCACAAGTTTAGAACTCCAGATAATTCAATAAATATCGGGGATTGTTACTCCGCCGCGGGTTCTCGCCACGACCTCCCGATGTTTACATTTAACGCGGGAAATCCGTCCGTTTTCTCTCGTTTTCGTGTCATAGAAAGCGGGAAGCTTTTCCGTTCTCTGTGGATTATTTCTGTTACAGAAAGTGGGAAACTGGTAGTAAGTTTGATATTGTTAATAAAAGCTTCATAAAAATAGATATTTCATAATTACATATAGAATATGCAGCAAAAAGTATTCTAATTTTTATGGTAAGATAGAAAACTTAATTATAAAGCTTTTGTTATTTTTCTATATAATTTTGTTGATCTTTAAATTACGCAAACATTACTGGAACAATCCAATGTTTACATCTTGCCAATCAAAGGACATTTATCAGCACCTTCCATTTCAGTGTCGTATGTGATATCAGTGGAACATTATCTAGCTCTTTGTTCTACGCATGTGGACATGACTTTGGAGGATCCATTTTTTGTGGTTAAAGAGTAAGTAAAAATATATTTGTTTTCTTGAGAACAAGGGAAGCCCCGAGTGACCTGAGACCCAGAAGGAAATGCTTGGACCTTCAGAAGAAATTTTGTTCTTGCGTTCTCATGCGCTATGATTTGGCACGTGAATTATTTTAAGAATAAATTTTGAGAGAGTTTTTGTAGTAATTTTCTTAGATTGAAGGTTTGTTGCGGACCTGATGATTAAATAGGTGAAATTCCAGGCACATGACAGTTGAAAGATACTCATGTGACACTTTCTTATCTTATCTGCACATATTTGATTTGCTATTTAGGAATAATAGTTATCTTTCTGATTGATTTTTATTTCTCGAAGTATGAACAGGAAATATATGTTACACCTTGTTATGAGCTTAAAAAGAAATGACAAAAGGGTGTGTTGCAAAGTACTTGCATTCACTTTTAGTAATGACAATGCAATTCTCACAATATTTATTTTCAGAGTTAATCACTGATTATTATCAACTCTACTACACTTTTTTCATAGATGACAAAGGCAATATGATTAGGTGAAGAACTGAAAAGGTATCTTTTTGACATGCAGGCTAGCAGTGAACTCAAATTGCTGTTTGAGTGGCATACCCTTTGCTTCATGTGCATACAAGTGTTATGATGTACAAATGACAGTAATGCATGATATTCCTCCATTATTTTTTTTAACTAAGGTTCTGTTGTAATTCAAAAATTCAACTTCCTTGTTAGTAGATGCAGTAGAAAGAAAAGAAATGAAAGGTATCTTACATGCTAAAAATCATATACCTATTATAATCACCTGCCATCAGATTCCTCAAGTGGTTCCTCATGTTAAATTATGGGAGAAAAAAGGAAATATACTCCTGCAAGAATATATTGAAAGTTTCTTGATGGATACATTAATATTTTGATATTGTAGTAACCAGTTTTAAGAAAACATTTTCTTATTAATTTATTTTTTTTTTTTTTAAAATCATGGGAGTAAATCACTTCAATATAAACATTTTGGCATCTGGATCATGCAATGGGTTGAAGAAGAGGATGTGCTTGTAGGGGTGTAGTTAGAGGAGAGGTGTAGGATGGTGTGTGTCTCTGTGTATGAATGTGTGAATGTATCTGAAACACAAACTGTAGTTATTATCATAGTTGTTATTGTTGTTGTTATTGCTATTATTATTATTATTATTATTATTATTATTATTATTTTGCCATTATCATTACATCATATGATCTTTGTTACTATTGTAAATTATAGTACAATAACACTAACACTAATAACAATTTACTATGTGTTATATTACTATTATCATTATTATTATTCTTTTTGTTGTTATATGTAATTAATACTATTGAATTTTGTGTGTTATTTTTATTATTACATCATTGTTATAATTTTTTTATTTTTATTATATTATTATAATTATTGATTTTCATTCTTAGTGTTATTGCTATTATTCTTGTGGTTACCTTTATTATTTTTATCATCATGATCGTCAACATCCTCATCGTTATCATCATTGAAAGTGGTAAATAATCACCAGTTATCGCCCTGAGTATCATCTTCATCTTCATCCTATGCATTATTATCAATGGTGTTGCTTATGCTTATGCTTATCAATGGTATTCTTATGCTGATTATATTCAGTATTCTTATTATGATTTTTTTAATGATGATTATTGTTGTTGTTGGTGGTGCTGCTGTTAAAGTTGTAGGTGTTTTGTTTTTTTACTTTTGCTACTATTATTATTATCATTACTGTTACTTTTGTTATTATTGCAATCATCATCATTATCATTATCATCATTAGCTTCATTCTTGTTATTAATATCATTATCATCATCATTCTTTGTTCTTATTATCGTTATTAGTGTTATTATTACTATTATTATTATTATCATTATTATTACTGTCATTATTATTATTATTATCATTATTTATCTATTATTATTATTACCATTATTATTACTACCATTATTATTATTATCATTATTATTACTACCATTATTATTATTACTATTATTAGTATTATAAACAAGACAGTATTATCACTGTTACCAGTATGAACCATATTGCTGGCATATAAAAGAAAGATATGATGCACATTTGATGTCAAGAAGATAAGGTCATTAGCATACAGATCAAGAGCATAGTTTACATAAGCTTGTTTTATTTTCTTTGCAAATTTAACTTCAGTTTTTTTTCTGTGGTTGCAAGTGAGTGACGTTAGTGATATTAAAACGTAGGGGTAGGAGGTCATCAGACTTTCATTATGTGTATGTAAATCAGCTGCAGGATTCAGTTTAGTTGTAGTTCATGTTGTATAAACTGGCTTCTTCATCATTGTCATTTTTCACATTTTCATTTGCATTATCATTTTCATCCTCTATAGCATTATCATTTTCATCCTCACTATCATTATCATTTTCATCCTCACTATCATTATCATCATCTTCACCATCATTATCATTTTTGTCATCTTCACCATTATTATCATTTTCGTCATCTTGGCCATTATCATCATCTTCCTCATTATCATCTTCTCTGCCATCGTCACCGGCATCGTATTCATCTCATTAACCATCACCATAATTAGTGTTATTTATATCTGATGTTATTTACACTGGAGGAGAGGTCAGATGATACCGCACGCAGCGACGGCACCAAGACTTCAGAAGAAATTGCATACATTCCAATGCTCTTAATGTTTGTTTACTTAGAGTTTGATGCGTGTGTGAGCAGACTGTGTTACATCTTAACTTGCATATTCTACTTGGTGGTTATTAAGAGCAGTGCCAGTCCGGCCATGTGCAATGCTTTACTGCAAGACGTTGAGAAATACACTTTTCGTTGTGAATATTAAATGGGGAAATGTGCTCTGGGTTTATTTGTTTGGTAGGGGGTAGGTTTGTCACGTACTGTGTCTTGAGGAGAGAAAAAATGATTTTAAATTTCTCAAACGAATGAAAAACGAGATATGAAGTACTGCTCTGCATGGCATTAAAGTGAGGTATTGATTTGCTTTTAACTTTTGATTTAACTTGACATTATGGAGGCAGCGTTCGGTAAAGGATAAAGTGACGCAGTTACTAAATATAGCATAGGGCATGGTCATTTTATGCCGGTGGAAATAGTCGTCGAGTTTTTATTTTGAGTGGCGTCTCACCTCCTGTCCTTCGCGCCGGCGGACAGGCAGCGAGGATAATCAAAGTGCGGGGCTTTACGAGGCCTCTGCTGCTGCTGGTGTGTAGAGGGCTGTTGTGTGTCTGTTTCTTCCCTTCGTTCATTCGATGTTACATGTATCTCATTCGCCATCAGAGAATAGACACGCACGATGCTCTTCGTGTGAATATGTCAGGAGAAAAATGGTCGATAGCCGCTTCTCCTTTGGAGAGGCGCACCGTCACCAGCGATCAAAAGGCAGTGCACACACACACAAAGGAACCCCTTTTCGGAGGCCATTTGCTGTGCCAACTCTCCCACAGTAGCTTGTATCCTGACGTCTGGCGAAGAAGCAGCCTTTGTCTCGTCTGCATGTTCTTTATCTTCATTTATTTGTTCATTTGCCTTCATGCGCTTCATTCCTTACGGTTCCCGAGGCTCTTCAGCGAGTCCAGATTCGCTTGAGAATCTTAAAACGGCAGTTTTTTAGTATTTACAACCAAGGTACGTCCTGTTGCTAATCTAACCGCAACACAAGGCTAGTGGCAGTGATAAATAGCGAGGGTATATGGCAGTTAAAGATAGTTTCAAGCAGCAGATGACCTTGAAGACAGAACTTGAGGACTCATGTGCACGAGAGCGTAACCCGGAATTTGTGCCATCGATGTCCTGAGGGCATAAATCCGGATTTAGTTTTGGGTACAGTTGTCGTCTGCGTGCGTCTGCTTTTCTCGACGGGTCAGAATGCATGCAAAAAAGTCAAAGAAAAACATGGCATCTACGCCCGCATGACAGCTCCGAGAGGAAGGGTTGAAGACCTCGATATTACCCGTGGGCAAGTCTCCAGGGTCACTTGAGATGCAAGCAGAGCACGCACATACCGCACTCACAGCGCCTCATACGTGCCAGCGCTTCCGCACGCCCGCTGAGCTCCGTGGGAACCCGGCTTTCCGAGTTTGTTTATTTTTACTTTTTGAGACAGGCACTTTAACTTGCTTGGGATACATGTATATACCCATGCATGTATGTGTTGATGTATGCATGTATAAACATACATGCATGCATGCATACATACATACATACATACTTATATACACACATACATATATACATACATTCGCAAAAGCATACATATACAAAAACACAAGGACTGTAACGTGCACACACATAAAGTGAAACATGACCACAATAGAAAGATAATAAAACGTGACATTTTGAACTCGTGAAGCGTTCCTTCTCGGGCATAAACCCCACCCCCACACGTACATGTACGTACACATACATACCCTCGCAAATGTGATATAGATATAGATACGTAATGACTGTATCATATAATGAATATATATATCCTTACACAAACCAAAAATGCATAAAAACCTAAATCATGTATTGCAAACTATTCGTTAGTATACACTCATGTATACATACAAAGGAACACACACGCATGCATACACAAAATACACAACATGTAAATTACCGCGTATGTGCACATGGCAGTGAGCGTTCTTGTATACATGTACATGATATCGAGTGACACTTGCGTGCCATGTTCTGTGAAGTGGACGAGAGACCAGCATGATAGCACGCGAATCTCTGGTGGGTTGGGGGGTGGGGGGGACGCCCACGCTGGTGCCCAAGGGAGGGGGGTCGCTGGGGGAAGGGGGGGAGAGACGCCCACGCTGGTGCCCAAGGGAGGAGGGTCTCGGGGGGGGGGGGAGCAGGGTAAATGTCCAGACACAAGCCAAGGGTGACCCAGGGGAAGTGGAGGGGGAGAGGGGGGGGGGGCGTTCTCTCGACCCATCATACCAGACTTGTTCCTAAGGTCAGGGGGAGGTTCTGCGTCTTTGTCTTCTTCTTGTGTTCGTATTTCGTCGCAGATTTGGTGCATTTTGTTCCGTTTTCGTGTCTCATTTTTTCGTATCTCAGTTGATTGTATTGTATCTTTGTTGATTTTCCAATTGTTATTTTTTATTCTCCTCCCTTTCTTTTCTTTTCTTCGCCTCCTGCTTCCTCTTCTTCCCTCTCTCCTGCCCTCCTCCTCCTCCTTC